AAGCTTAGGAGGGGAGATGTGCGGCTGGATTTTTGTTGGACGGCTGCTTTGTACAGCTTAGGTCTTCTACACTGTCATTCCTATTCGCTTCTCCCCTTGGGTGGACACGTGCTTGAGTTGGTTCGACTTTTGCAAGTCATGTTGTTTGCGGAGCCTACAATTTCTACTGTTGGTCTGCGTTTCTCCGTCTGCTGATTCTTTTTTGTATTGGGGTTTGGTGGCTGGTCTTTGTATATAGATTGTGCAGATTGTTTTTTACTATTCTGCAAGACTTGTCCTGTTTTGTATGCTGGTCTGCTTATGTTTACGCTTCATCGAGACTAGCGGTTTGTTAATAGGGATTGTAAATCCTTGCCTCTTTTTGCTATCGTTTTTTGCTTGATCCTGGGCATGTCCAGGGCACTGACTCTCCAAGAAACCTACCTTGTGGTCTCATTCTTTTATTCTTTATAATATTACCTCTTTAACCACAAACCAACCACACCCCCCCCCCCCCCCCCCCCCCCCCCCCCCCACACACAAAAAAAAAAAAAAAAAAAAAAAAAACACGCTAATGGCAATTGTTTAGCACTAATAGCGTAGAAAATTATTCTAACTGAGAGCAAATTTGCACTTTAAACCAGTGTGTAAACATTTACGCCATTGAAATTTTTACAGAAATTCCCAGTGGCATATTTACCACCCCAATTGGAAAAATATACCACAATGTCAATTGGCTGCAATTTTCAAATCTAACACAAACAAAACCAATATCTTCTATTCCATCAAAACACCACCCACTCATATATCATAAACAACTTTCACAACAATAATCACATTAACCCGAAAACCTAGAAATTTAGAATATAAAAATCTTAACTAAAACCCAAAAATCTTACATAACTCAAAAATCCAGTAACATCTTTCAAAGTGTCATAGTTAACTTTGTTCTCATCACAAAAATCGCCAAAACAATCAAATACTCAAGTAATCAATCTATACCGTGATTAATGCAAGAAGGGAGGGAAAATTGAAAATCAAATCAAGTCCAAACCCTTTTTTTTTAAATGGGAGAACATGGAGAAAAATTTCTTATATATAGAGCAATTTGGGAAAATGGTGTTTGATGGTTATATTTTGAATTTTGTTATAATAGCCAAATTTTGGTTATTTGCATTAAGACTAAAAAATAATACAAATATTGAAAAGAGGGAAAATACAATTACATCCTGAAGATTTGGTTTAAGCAACCTTTAGTGTTGTATACTCTTTTAGTAATGTTTTAGTTCTTATCAAATATCAATAACATTTTAGTCCTTAACATTAGCAAATCTCGGGGACCAAATTAAGACTAATAAGGACCAAAACATTACTAAAAAAATTTACAAGACTAAAATTACTTATACCAAACCTCAAGGACAAAATTGTTAATATCCCCTGCATACAAGAAGTTTGTATATGTAGTATTATTTGGTCAAGAAAGTAGTTAAGGGGCGTTTGGTTGGAGGTAATGAAATATTAATTGGGTTATGTCATTTTATATTACTTGATTACCGTATTTGGTTGTCAAGTAATATAAGATTCCGGTAATCTTGTATTACCAATAGTTGTTACTGTTGATAATATTGGAGGTAATCTGATTACCTCTATTTTCTTAGGTATTGTAAGATTACTAAGGTAATCTTATTTTTGTAATAATTCTATCCTTTATTAATAAAAATTTTGGACAATAATGCCCCTATTTTAAAATAAATTTACGATAATGGCCAGGGATCTAGCTGTTAACGGCCAGATCCATTGATCTGGCCTGATATGGCCGTTTTTGGCCATCAATATGGCCAGAAAAGGCATATCGGAGCCTCGTGGTCATGGTGAGCTACTCACGGCGACTTTCGGAGACTTCGGATGGTGGTTTGTGGTGACGGTAGGCGATGACAGGGGATGGGGGTGATTTTGTCATAAATTAAAGTTTTAAATTAAGCGAGGGTGTTTTAGCTAAATCTAAAATATTGGGGGTTAAAAAAATTATTCAAAAATTAATAATAAAAATAATATTATATTAATATTTAAAAATTGGACAATTTAGTAATTTAAATAACATACCCATCAATTTATTCTCCCTACCAAACATATTAATATAACATACCCACTAACTAAACAAACACATTTTCCTAAAGATTTTCAGTAATCTTCTAAGTAATATAAGATTCAGTAATCCAATATTCCTTGAACTAAATGCCCCCTTAAGAAATTAAAAGATCAAGATTGATTCATCATTTCCATCATTTTATTTGATTTTCACCATAAGTGAGGGTATTGTACTTGTAGGAAGGATAAAATATGTAGTAAGACACTAAATTAATTCTGTAATAATATTATGTTACATAGTATTAAATTATGTGTTTGATGATGCATTAATAACATATTATTTTCAAAAAAAAAATTACATATATTATCAATATTTTAATAACCAACCCGAGGTGAAACTCAACAAAGTTGCTGGGTCCCAGGTTGATGGATTTGACCGGCCAATCAACATGGTGTCTAAAAGTTTAAAATTCAGCAAATACACCCCTAAAAATTACGTTAAGTCTATACAAGTTTAAAATTTAGCAAACCCCCCCAAATACAAATCAGCGATCGACTAATTGGTGGCGATGACATACTAAATGCAATCCCAATCATCCTTTGATTCATTCCCCATAAAATCTACCCAAGATCTGGCGAAATCGGTTCGATTTCGACAAGATCTCACCACTGTTGGCGTCGACAACCTTCCCCATCACTACAAAAATACTCCCCTCAGCTCTTGATCAAAACCGATCTCACCCCACCCCCGTCTGCCTCGCCAATCGCATGCAACAGCTGGTTGTTGCCCCTATAGGTTTTTTTCAATTTCCGGTCGCTTCACTCATCGGAAATCACTTTCGTCGCCACCAACCATTCCTCTTCAAAACCCCTAACATCCTGACTTTCAATTGTTTGGCGATCATCATCATAATTTATAGGATTTTTGGTGAATAGGGAAATTGGTAACCCAGCTCGGTGAAGGCCCTAGGTCTTGGTTCCACCGGTCAGACTGGGCCGGGTTTTAAAACATTGTATTATCACATCATTTTATAATTAATCATGTTATTAACCTCTTTTAAAGGGGATCTCAACTTTGTAAAATAATGTTATTGAATCCTAAAATCCACTACCCCTACGTTTGCTTTTCCTTAGTGAGCGAACGAGCCTTCCTCCTCCACCAATAAAAAATTAAAAATAATGTACAATTATTAATTTGTAACAGTGATGTATAATCTTTTTAGTACTATGTGAGAAAGTAAGCATTTTATATAAAAAAATATATCTATATGAGGTAAGTACAATTTATTATAATTATTTTTTTTACAAAAAAAAAAAAAATTATAATTGATTAAAATCTTTCTAAAAGATTTTATTATAATTACAATTTAGATTACAATTTAATCCAAATTTATATTAAATGATGACTTTTGAAATCCAGTATATTGCTTTATCATATATGAGATACTATTATTAATATATAATCCAATTTAATTTATTATTAAATAATTTACTCCAACAGTCCAACCTATTTCAATTCGATCTGTCCAATCCAATCTGATTTAATCTATTCTCATTCAATTTAATATTTGCCTAGTCCAATTCAATATCTCCTACAGTATATGGCTCTCTAAGTTGTTTCCGATTGGATTATAATTATATCATTCCTGCTTGAGAATGACGGGACGATTTCTAATTAATATTAATTATCATTCTTTAATGTTACAGCTAATCTTGTCGTCCATGATTTATAGCCAATGAAAGGTTGGCCAGCCATCTACCATTAATGCTAATATAAAATCGAAAAGATAAAACTAACGTTATGCTTATAATTAAGTTATACAATCCAATAAAAACGTTATGCTTATAATTAAGTTATACAATTCAATAAAAAAATAAAAGATAAAGTTGTTATTTTACATAAATTTTATATAATTTTTATCTTATTGTATGATTCAATTATAAAATTCAATTGTAAGCAAAACATTATTAAAAAATCAATGAACTTTTACGTAACACCAATGGACTATTCATTATGTTCAAGTTTGTAAAAATGTTCACAAATTAAAATTAAGGTTAAAATCTTCGAAAACTAAAGCCTTTGTAGGCCCTTGCCTGTTGCCGCCCTCTTCATGAATGAATTACTATGAGGGCTCATCACTTTAAGGTCCGCATACATTAATCTTATAATATATAAATTTGAGTCAATCTCTTCATCATAGTTTTTTTCTTTAAATTTGAAATAATTTTTATTATTTTCAACATTTATAATATTGTATACTCTTTAAACACACATAAATTAAAAATCTCACTACTTATCACTCTCAAGGTAGTTCATTTTAACTACTTCTGGATAATCGAGTGGTTCGATAAGGACTCTTAAATGTATTATTCGAGAGATTTTGAGTTCGAATCCCTCTTTGATTACTAATAGGAATAACCACTAGAGTTTATATCTGGTCGATAGTTCTAATATTCCAAAAGATTAGTTGAGGTGGACGTAAACTAGTCCGGACATCACAATCATAAAAAGAAAAAGTTATTTCATTTTCTCTAGTTGAACTAAGTGATGGAATTTATAAATTCACCCGCCTACAATCCAATAATTGTAGCATCCACTAAATGCTTTCTGTCTGTTAACATGCAAACTTAAACCACCTTACATAGATGGCTACTTCCCAGCAAACGACAGCTTCAGTCTAATCAATAATTAATCCAGCATTTATGTCAAAGACCCCTAAGATAGAGATGACAAAGACTCCTTGAGCCATTTATTGAACATAAATTTTTTCTCAAGTGAATTATTAGCTAATCAACGATTCATAATTTGTCATTAGCCAGCAACTTGAATAGAGAACAGAATAAGAGATTTAATTGCAGATTCTTTATAAATAACATGATCACTTGAAAAATCTGAGAATTATTTTTGAAGACAACACTCCTAATTTCAATACTTGAAGACAGCACTCCTAATTTCAATACTTGAAGACAACACTCCTAATTTCAATACATTGCGGAACAATTGAACAAACACATTGAATGTCCTTGTTATTATCAAGGTCAATGTATTTGTTCCTGAGACAATATTATTAGGTCCTGGAATCCAATTCCATTATGGTGCTGAGATTCATGGGATACATGTATTCAGTGGAGCCACGGGTCATGAACTGTTCAACTATAATCCCGTTTGCCTTTTCTGATGGATGGAATGGATCCCAAAATGCATATAGTTCTCGGNAAGAAAAAGTTATTTCATTTTCTCTAGTTGAACTAAGTGATGGAATTTATAAATTCACCCGCCTACAATCCAATAATTGTAGCATCCACTAAATGCTTTCTGTCTGTTAACATGCAAACTTAAACCACCTTACATAGATGGCTACTTCCCAGCAAACGACAGCTTCAGTCTAATCAATAATTAATCCAGCATTTATGTCAAAGAACCCTAAGATAGAGATGACAAAGACTCCTTGAGCCATTTATTGAACATAAATTTTTTCTCAAGTGAATTATTAGCTAATCAACGATTCATAAGTTGTCATTAGCCAGCAACTTGAATAGAGAACAGAATAAGAGATTTAATTGCAGATTCTTTATAAATAACATGATCACTTGAAAAATCTGAGAATTATTTTTGAAGACAACACTCCTAATTTCAATACTTGAAGACAGCACTCCTAATTTCAATACTTGAAGACAACACTCCTAATTTCAATACATTGCGGAACAATTGAACAAACACATTGAATGTCCTTGTTATTATCAAGGTCAATGTATTTGTTCCTGAGACAATATTATTAGGTCCTGGAATCCAATTCCATTATGGTGCTGAGATTCATGGGATACATGTATTCAGTGGAGCCACTGGTCATGAACTGTTCAACTATAATCCCGTTTGCCTTTTCTGATGGATGGAATGGATCCCAAAATGCATATAGTTCTCGGTTGGGGCACAAGTTTGATGCCGGAGTGCAAAGTCCTAGACCATTGTATCGTCCTTGTCCACAACATGCTTCCTTCGATGTGGTAAATCCTGCGCCATAATATATATGTGTAAATTTTGAAAACAAAAAATTAGAATCCTCTTCTGATATGAACTTTCCTGTGTTCTTAAAGGTCTCATAATGTATATGCATTTCAATTATTTTCAGAAAACATCAAATAACATGAATCTGAAATATTCAGTTTGCCTTCATTAACCAACATTGGGTGACTTGATGATAAAAGAACAAAATGAGATTTCATGTCTTTAGTTTAAGTCCCCCTAAACACTAACAAACAGAAGTAGTCATTGTGACTCTTATCCAACTAGTAATTCCAAGACTCTAAAAGATTAGTTAAGATGCATGTAAGTTAACCCGAACATCCCGATGATCATTAAAAAAAAAAAAAAAAAGTTTGCCTTCATTAACTGAATTTGGTTTCAAAACCCTACACCTACATTTCCTCAAATGTCAATCTAAAATTAAAACTTTCATCTGCCAACTTGATATGGTCCAGATAAAGCATCGAATCAGTCAAATCTGAGTCTTAAAGACCTGAATTTTGAAACTAGAAGGAGATAATTCATTGGGTCCCAAAATTAAACTCATGGTTTATTATTTTAGCCTACAATGTATCCTGCAATCGGTAGCCTTTGCCATTAATTAGAACTACAATATTGGTTTAGTTTTTTCTCTGAATTCTTCACTAATAAATTAAAACACAATATTAATTATTGAAATTTGAACAAGAATATTGACTCATAGGTAAATGTACTTACCATATGCTTGAGGATTACTAATGAAGTCATTGTGCATAGCTTGTGTGTTAACACCAACGAAGATATCTGAACCAAATTGACTGTTGAGTTCTCGTAGAATTTGATTAAGTTGGGGATTATACAAGGAGGCAGCTCGTTGCAATTCAGCTGAGCACTCCCCATTTCTGCTTCGCATGGCTAGCTCCGCCGGAACACAACCCAATGGCCCCGACCCTGTCACCAAAACCCTACGTGCTCCAAGTTCATACAGCCTCTGTAATTAAACACAAAGCATTTTAAATCACTTTTCATATCATTGATAGTTTATAATAAAAAATAAAATAAAAATAAATCTTCATGTATACCGCTAGAAGCTTTTTGTACTCGGAAATTACAAACTTGACAAAATTTGGTAGAGAATACTCGCGAGATCTTGCGGAATAAGGAACCAAGTAATAGTTGTTGACAAAATCGTTGCCACCAACAGTGATGAGGACGAGTGCACCATTAACTAGTTGCTTAGTCCGTTCAGGTCCAATAAGAGCTGCAACTCGGTTTTGGTATTCTTGGAAGTACTCTAATTGCCTGTACATTCTGATTATGTTTACCTGCCAATTGAATTTCGCGTTTCATTGGTTATTAATCGTTCCAATAAGTCCAACATTATGGTAAATTATCATGTATGAAATAACAAGAACATTGATTTTGAGGATGACCATGTAATTCATAACAAAATACATAATATATTGTTCATTAAATCTGAGACTCTTAATTATACAGTGGCCAAGCCAAGAACCATTAATTGAAATTAAATGGTGTTTGGATAAAATTGCCAAGTCAAAATTTCGAACTTACAAATTGAATTCCGGTGTCATTGAGGACTCCGATTCCAGCCGAAGCAAAGTTGGCACCAACAAGTAGTCTTTGTCCAGTGAGCTCCGGACTCAAGTATGGCAATGTGGATTCTGACCTAAGTTGCTTACCTGAATATACACATTTTGTGTTAGTCAAATTAGTTGAAGGAGTATCAAGAAAACTAATGTTGATGTTAAATGCAAATCAAATAAACCATACTGATAAAATCAGGAATGTTTAGGCCATTAGAGAAACGCCCGGTGGGACGATGAGTTGGATAGTCAATGCCATAAGGTGGAGAGTCAGCCCGAGCATCGGTTGCCAGATAATTATTGTTGCCATTATCGACAAGCGAATCACCAAAAACAAAGAAAGCACGGGCTGCCTGGGCTTGAGGAACAAAAGTTAAAGTTCCTATTGCCATGAATAGACCTAAAACTATCCATGCACTAAACACCAATGAGCTCGCCATGGAATGGAATAAATTAAAATATATATCACTTGAATATCTTTGAGATGTGAATATGTTAAGGTATACACGGCCTTATATAATCTTTAGTTCATTCCATCCTTAGGAGGAAAAAACACTAGGCTTTATCAGATGACAAGGACATGAGGCTCATCAGCTACATTAGCGAGCAAATATCTACTTTTATTTTCTGGTTAATGAAGAATCAATTAATTATCTAAGCAATTTGCAGTTTTCTTTGTAGATTATTAAGTTTTCCCGAGTCTTAATTTCTAGTGCATTTAATTTGTTCACTTCAACAAGATAATTGATTGAAGCTTCAATACTACATTATATTCACCAATCAATTACCAAGAAAAATCCCTGACAATTATTATTATTACCCAAAATGCTGTTGCCAGAAGAACAGGTATTCAAGTTTATATGCTTCATGATACATTTCACCAATTAATGTTAAAGAATAGGTGATGACTTCTGTGAGTAAAACTATTTAAGATCTTTAAAATGTGTATGACCAACTTCCGCAGGTAGTTTGGACCAGTGCTTTTTATTATAACAAATACCAACTATTCAAGAAAGTCATCCATATTTGACACCAACCTGGGCATGATACGTTTACTTTCTCATTAACTAGTTGTATTACAAAATAGAGTAAAGACTTCTTCCCACCCAAGGTTTTCCTTAATGACCCTTTCCCACACAAAAAGTTTCAAAATACTACTTTCCCACCCAAAGTTAATATTCCATTATTACTCAAAGCCAATTTCGGCCGATTTTGATAGCAAAAATTCTCTCTATCACCACAATTTGAACCTTTAGTCTCCTCTTTACAAAACCCCTCTCACTCCGACATCTGATTTTTCACTGATTGCTGGCCATCGCAAAGCTAGAGTTTCATATTCTTAGTTGGTTTCCAATTGATTCTGGTGACGAATATTCAATTCGGTCACCACCATTCGATACACTGACTCTACTCTATAAAACCTCTCTTACCTTGGCTTCTGGTAACTCACCGAACGCTGGCTGAGAAAGTAAAGTGTATTTTGGGTATTAACAGAGTATAAACTTTGGGTGGGAAAGTGGTATTTTGAAATTTTTTGGGTGGGATAGTGTCATTAAGGCAAACCTTGGGTGGGAAAGAGTCGTTTACTCTTACAAAATAATGAACATAAATATTTTTCCAATTATTCCTTTATGCTGCTCCCATAAATTTATTGCAAGTTTAAAATGGTAGTAGGGTTAATACTCAAATTCTAACTTCAGGTTTCCCATTTAATTTGTCACGTTGATCATCCTGAGTTATATTAAGTATAATACGCCAAATAATGCATCTAATAAAGAGTAAACAACTTTTTCCCACCCAAGGTTTGCTTTAATGACACTGTCCCACTCAAAAGTTTCAAAATACAACTTTCTGACCAAAAGTTTATATTCCTATTAATATTCAAAATACACTTTACTTTCTTAGCTGACGTTCGACGAGTTACCAGGAGCCAAGGTAAGAGGGGTTTTGTAGAGTGAAGGTCGGTGGATCAAATGGTGGTGATCGATTGAATATTCGCTATCGGAATCAGCCGAAAATCAACTAAGAACATGAAACTCTAGCTTTGTGATGGTTAACAATCGACGAAAAATTAGGTGTCGAAGTGAGAATGATTTTGTAGAAAGGAGATAGGAGGTTTTAAATAGTGGTGATAGAGAGAATTTTCGCCGTCAGAATCAACCATAATCGGCTTTGTTTAATAACAGAATATTAACTTTGGGTGCAAAAGTGGTATTTTGAAACTTTTTGGGTGGAAAAGGTAATTAAGGCAAACCTTGGGTGGGAAAATGTTAACTCTAATAAATTACTAAATTTTGTCAAGTGTCGCACCTTAAATGTTCATTCCTTAATTATTCTCTCTCTATTATATTGATAAACATAATAGACTTTTTTTAACTACATCAAAGAAGCCTTTGATTTAATTTTGCTTCATCAAATGAGTCGTTGAAGTTCCTGATTAGATCCAGGCGCATTCTCCATTCATTTATGAGTGCGGACATCTTTGGTGAAGTTGGCCAACCAAACTTAATTTTATAAATAAATATTTGGTATATGTCATTAATTCGATGTTCGAAGTATCACAGATATTTTGGACCGACGATATGTGACTTTGGAGTTGAATATTCACAGAAGCCTAAATTAGGGCCCAAAAAGTACCTTTTTTTTTTTTTTTTTTTGTTTCTTTTCGAAGGGAACTTTGGACCACTGAATAAGCAAGGGTTTTAAACATACCAACTACTCACTCTCAACTCAACCTAATTTAGCTGAAAAATAGTTCAACTAACACTTTCACCAAGATTCAATTGCCAAACTAATTCTTTTAATTTTCAACCTGCTTTGCAGGCTCTTTATTCCCCTAAAAAGCAACTACATCAGAGACATGTTCTTTCTAATTGCTTGATTTGACAATTTAACAGTAAATAATTTACAATGATACTAAAAAAAAAAAAAAAAATTAATAAGCCCCAAATGACCCCAATGATATTATCATTAATTCTTTTATGAAAAATACTTTTGATTTTGGTATTCTTTTTTTTTTTTTTTTTTTAAATGATCGAAGGTGTCTGGACCAGCTTACGTGCATCTTAATTAATCTCTCGAGACCCTGAAACTATTGACTGGGTAAGAGCTCCAGTGGTTACCTCTATTAGCAATTGAGGAAGGATTCAAACTCAGGATTTCTTGAATAATATATCTAAAAGTTTCTATCAAATCACTCGGCTACCCAGAGATAGTTATTTTGGTATTATTTTGATCAACAATGTGGTTCATACTAAGCATTGAATATTTGCTTAAAACAAGAGTTCCAAAATAAAAATTCAATTTTATTTTAAAAAATGGTTTTCTAAGGTAGTTTACTATGAATTATAATAGTTCATTGTGGATGAGCAATCCCAGCTTGCTATTGAATGAAACAAAAAAAAGTTGGTAAATATATTTAAACAAATGACGGCACACCAAGCGCTTTAAATGAGACTCAATTATAGTTAAGGGTGTGTCGGTATAAAATCGATTAATTTTTAACAACTCAAATCAGATTCAATGTTTGCGAATTCACAATCCCAACCCCAATCCCAAGGGGTTGGCCGAAGCGCCTAATGGTCAAAAAAATTTACTCCTTTTATTGCCTTTTGGGTTTAAACTTTAAAGTCACCTTATCACATTGTAATCTATTTGATCTTTTGAGTTTATAGGGTATTCAACGGACCCCAGATTTTAGTTAAAGTGCGCGTAAACTGATCCAAACACATTGGTTACCAAAAAAAAAAAAAAAAAAAAAATCACAATCCCATCTAATCTAATTTCATGTTTATCAAAATTAATCTAATTCAAGTTCATTAGGTTAAACAATCCAATTCATCAAAATCAAACTAATCAAGTTCACTCTCTAACAAATTTATGGATTCGAACATCTTAACAAATAATCAGAATACTGATTTGTATTAGTTTGAGCGGGTTAGAGTTTATTTTAGCGAACTAATTTGAGATATTGACGTTCACTTTTTCTATAATTGTTAATAAGTTGAAGGAGGTTGGTAGATTGAAATAATGGAAACTTATGATTCAACAAATATGGAGGCTAACTTAATTTGGTAGATAAAGAAGAGTTAATATCACTTGTTCATCATGTCTTTGCTGCATTCAATTATATGGTGTTATATAGTTGTAATCTATTAACTTAATTAATTGAAGCTCTTTTCTATGCATGCACATTCGCATATTGCGTGAATGTTTCTATCGAAATTAAGCTCCAGGCCTCCAATCACACATTATGCCCCACGCGCTGGCTTGCATATTTGAAATTTTCAATTGTTTTAGTATTTTGCTGGGAACTACCTTTGGGTGGTCTAGTAGTTCGATAGGGACTTTTTGTTAACTTTCGTATGAAACGGAGAGTGATATTTGGGAGAAACTGAATCAATGTTTATTTATTGTATTGTACTTTCTTATATACAAATACAATAAAGTTAACTATCTTGAGTTAACTAACTAATCTACTAACTACAGTTAACACTAATAACTGATTATTAACAAACTAACAATATTTAACTGACTACTTAACAAACTAACAATATTTAACTTCCAATACCCCCCCTCAAGTTGGAGGGTGGTAGAGATCAAGCACACCCAACTTGCTTAAAAGATGATGATGAAGTTGGTTCCCAAGAGCCTTAGTTAAAATGTCAGCTGGCTGCTCAGAGGAAGAGATGTAGGCAGTGCTAATTAGGCCCTTTTGAAGTTGTTCCCATACAATATGATAGTCTATATCTATATGTTTGGTCCGCTCATGAAACATGGGATTCGAAGCAATGTAGTGAGCAGCCTGATTATCACAATGCAGAGGAACAGGAGACAAATTGGAGAAACTGTAACAACTACTTTCTTTCTACCAGATTCGTAATATCGATTAATAAGAAGATAGCATATTTATCAATACAAGTTGGGCCCAAAAATTTCCTTTACTTAGTAATCACATTCGTTACAAAACAAAACATCATATGTACAAGGACTTTCGAAACAAAACGAAACAAGGGACAGTGCAGCCAAATCTCCCCGCTCTGGCGACGCCATTACGAACCAGTCCTCACCTATTTCCTGTACAACAAAGACAACGGAGTGAGCACAAAGATGCAGTAAGTAAAACAGTCTCTTACGCTATCATCCCCGTGATTATCATCAATTCTTTGTATTTCTATTCAAATTCTAATTCAAATTCTCATTTCTTTTTTTCTTTTCTTTCTATTCTTTTCTTTTTCTCAATCTCATCCGCCTTTTCATGGCGGAAACCGCTCCCTCTTCTCATAGCGGTTTACGTGTATTCGCTCTCTCATGGCGGAGTCCGTCTTTCTCAAACGGATCACATGCATTCCGCTCTCTCATGGCGGAGATCGCTCCTTACCATAGCGATTTACACGCATTCGCTCTCTCATGGCGGAGACCGTTTTCTCATAACGGTTTACATGAGGGTAACTCTATATCACGAGTTCCCCATCGCACAACCTAGTTTCTTTTCTTT